CTTTACTGTAATCTAACTGATAGAATTCAAAATAGCTGTCACAAAGAGATTCAACAAGCTACAAGAAAACCCAGAAAAGCAGTTCGATGAGCTCAGGAATAAAATTAACGAACAAAGAAATATGTTACCAAAGAGGCTGAAACTCTAAAAAAGAACCAAACAGAAATTCTGGAGCTGAAGAACTCAATAAACAAGATGAAGAATGCATAAGAACATACTGGAAACAGAGCAGACCACATGCAAGACAGAATTAGCTAGCTCAAAGGTAAAAACTGAGAAATTATACAGGTAGAAGAGGACAGAAAACAAAGACATAAGAAAAAGTGAAGAAATTTTACAAGAACTAACCCAAGAAGAGAGAAGAGAAGGGAATAGAGAGTTTATTTAAAGAAATAATACCTGAGAACTTCTTAAACCTGGGGAAGGAACTGGATATTCAAGTCCATGAAGCTAAGAGAACACGTCAATGCAAACAGACCTTCTCCCAAGACACATTATATTAAAACTAAAAAAAATCAATGACAAAGAAGGAATTTTAAAGGCATCTAGCGAAAAAAGTGGTAACCTACCATTAGGTAGACTATCAGCAGATTTCTCAGCAGAAATTCTACAGGTCAACAGAGAATGGAATGACATACTCAAAATATTGAAAGATTAAAAACTATCACCCAGGAATACTCTATCCAGCAAAGTTCTCCTTCAGAAATGGAGGAGAAACAGTTCTTCCCAGACAAACCAGCTAAGGCAGTTCATCAACCCCAGACTGCCTTACAAGAAATGTTGAAAGGAGCCCTTCTACTTAAAATGAAAAGGTCAAAGTACACAAAACACTGAATAAGATGATAAATACAGACAGAATCTTTCAAATACTTCATTACAAAATAAAGGTTAAAGGGGGAAAAGCAGTAAAAATAACTTTAGCTATTTCAATTTGGTAACAAATTCATCAAAGGATGAATGGATAAAGAAGATATGGTATGTGTATATATATTATATACACACATATATACACACACATACATATATATACATACACATATATACATACACACACACACACACACACACACACAAAGAAATATTACTCAACCACAAGAAAGAAGAAAATCCTGCCATCTGAGATAATGGAGTGGATCCAAGGGCATTCATTATGCTAAGAGAAATGTCACACAGAGAAAGACAAATATCGCCTTTATGTGGACTCTAAAAAAGCTGAACTCATAGAAACAGAAAGTAGAATGGTGGTTGCCAAGGTCTGGGAGGGATGGGGAAATGAGCAGTTGGTCAAAGGGTACAAACTTCTAGTTATAAGATGAAGAAGTTCTGGGCATCTAATATACAGCATGGTGATTACAGTTAATAATACTGTATTATATACTTGAAAATTGCTAAGAGTAAATTTTAAATGTTCTCACCACACAAAAAAAAATGATAATTATGTGATGTAAATGAGGTGTGAATGAGGCAGTCTGGGGTTGATGAACTGCCTTAGCTGGTTTGTCTGGGAAAGACTGTTTCTCCTCCATTTCTGAAGGAGAACTTTGCTGGATAGAGTATTCCTGGGTGAAAATCACCATGGTAAACATATTGCAATATAAAAGTGTATCAAATCCACAAGTTGTGTATTTTCAACTTAATGCTCCATGTCAACTATATCTCAAAGCTGGTGGGGAAAAAAGTCAAATTTGTTTGAAATAAGGAAAATATTACAAAGTAATTTTACTTAATTGACATACTAATGGACCTGATGCTTTGCTATCATAAGGTCTGAGGGAAAAAGCCTTATAGCTGTTATGTTCCTAAAATTCAGTTAACTTAATAATAACAATACAAAAATACATTGCAAATAGAACAAAAATGTTATGAGTTTAGAATAACTGAGTTTCTAAGCACTTACCATTTTCAGGCTGAGTTTTCTTAAGTGAATCAATGAGAGTACTGACTGCTTTTAAAACAAATATGATTTCTGTTACTTGTTGTCTGAAAAAAAAAGATGGGAAATTATTTCCATCAAGATTTTAAAATATGTATTTTTTTTTACTAAGTTACACAAATAGACATACTTTAGAAAATACTGAACACAAGACAATGCAAAGTTGATATAGTTTTAAATTCTTATAAAAGAAAATCATTTCATTAACACCTACTTCAGTGTGCAAATAAGATTTATAGTTAATACATCACATTAACAAGAGAAAGGACAAAAACCACATGATCATCTCAATAGATGCAGAAAAAGCATTCGCTAAAATTCAACACCCACTTATGATAAAAACTCTCACCAAAGTGGATATAGAGCGGATATATCTCAACATAATAAACACTCTATATGACAAACCTACAGCCCGCATAGTACTCAACGGTGAAAAACTCAAAAGCTTCCCACTAAAATCTGGGACAAGACAAGGCTGCCCACTATCACCACTCCTATTCAACACAGTCTTGGAAGTCCTAGCCACAGCAATCAGGCAAGAGAGAGAAATTAAAGGGATCCAAATTGGAAAAGAAGAGGTTAAAGTGTCACTATATGCATATGAGATGATACTATATATAGAAAACCCTAAAAGTTCCACACAAAAACTACTAAAACTAATCAAAGAATTCATCAAGGTAGTAGGTTACAAGATTAACGTTCAAAAATCAGTTGCATTTCTTTACACTAACAATGAATCAACAGAAAAAGAAAGTAAAGAAACAATCCCCTTTAAAATAGCACCCAAACTAATAAAATTACCTAGGAACAAATCTAACCAAGGAGGTGAAAGACTTATATGTGGAAAACTATAAACCACTGGTGAAGGAAACTAAAGAAGACTTGAAAAAATGGAAAGATCTCCCATGCTCCTGGATTGGAAGAATCAATATTAAAATGGTCACACTGCCCAAGGCAATCCCTATCAAATCACCCAGGACATATTTCACAGAACTAGAACAAATCATAATAAAATTTATATGGAACCACAAAAGACCTAGACTTGCCAAAGCATTACTGAAGAAAAAGAAAGAGGCTGGAGGAATAACTCTCCCAGACTTCAGACAATACTACAGAGCTACAGTCATCAAGACAGCATGGTATTGGTACAAAAACAGACATATGGACCAATGGAACAGAACAGAGAGCCCAGAAATGAACCCACAAACTTTTGGTCAACTAATCTTTGACAAAGGAGGCAAGAATATACAATGGAATAAAGACAGTCTCTTCAGCAAATGGTGTTGGGAAAACTGGACAGCAGCATGTAAATCAATGAAGCTAGGACACTCCTTTACACCATACACAAAAATAAACTCAAAATGGATCAAAGACTTAAACATAAGACAAGATATAATAAATCTCCTAGAAGAAAACATAGGCAAAACATTATCTCACATACATCTCAAAAATGTTCTTCTAGGGCAGTCTACCCAAGCAATAGAAATAAAAGCAAGAATAAACAAATGGGACCTAATGAAACTTACAAGCTTCTGCACAGCAAAGGAAACCATAAGTAAAACAAAATGACAGCCTACAGAATGGGAAAAAATTTTTGCAAATGCTGAAATCGACAAACGCTTGATCTCCAGAATATATAAGCAGCTCATACAGCTTAATAAGAAAAAAACAAACAACCCAATCCAAAAATGGGCAGAAAACCTAAACAAGTAATTCTCCAAGGAAGAAAAATCCACAAATGACAAATGCTGGAGAGGCTGTGGAGAAAAGGGAACCCTCCTACACTGCTGGTGGGAATGCAGTTTGGTGCAGCCATTATGGAAAACAGTATGGAGATTCCTCAAAAGACTAGGAATAGACTTACCATATGACCCAGGAATCCCACTCCTGGGCATATATCCAGAAGGAACCCTACTTCAAAAAGACACCTGTACCCTGATGTTCATAGCAGCACTATTTACAATAG